CGCAATTCCCGGAATGGGCTATTTTCAATTAGAAACAAATTTTTTATTGATATTGTGATTATTATATTATTGATTTTACTAGTGATATCAAGCCATGAAACACTTATATCAAAACACATAAATAAATTAAATTATTTGCCACACTTTGAATATATGTTGGTTTGATCGAAACAACAATATCGATAACATCGATATCGATTTCAGTCGATCGTTGGTACTACTGATAGCATATTAGTGAAGACTTCACTGTTTTTATTATAAAATTAATATAGTGTTTAGAAGTGAAAAGTGTTTGATCTCATTGTCATCGCTCTCAATTCCAGTGTCAATAGGAGTACGCAAGGACGAACACGGGATCACTAGACCGAACGTAAGTTAAGTGCAAATAGAGTTACAATGAAAACAGAAGCACGCGCTAGGACTTTATTAAAAAGAGGATAGGCGTATTTGAATTTTTACTTTATTCTTAATAAATCATTCATATATATATATATATATATATATATATATATATATATATATATGTCTGTGTGCCTTTGTATTAAAACTTCAAAGCTTACATAAAAAAAATGTGTGAATTTTTATCGTGCTGATGACTTCGACATGTTGTATGAAATCAGATAAGTACAAAATTTAAAAATAAAAATAATATTTATTTTATAAGTTTTACTAATTATGTATATATGCATAACTAATTCTTATTAAAATGTATGCAACAAAGTCCGTCGAATTCGAAGTGACTTGAAATCCAATATGATCGTCAGACCCAATTCTAACTAGATTCACATTGGCTATTTACGTTTTTTTAGGACATTTTACTCAATTTGAAAATATCAAGTTAAAACCATGAACAACTTATTCAAGTTAAAACCATGGACTGCTATGAATTGTTTTTTAAACAAATTTTACTCAACTATTGAGTTGTTTTCCAACTTGCCAATATAGTATACAACGTCCTTTTACGGCTGACTATTGTAAATTCCCCAAATTTACTAAATGTCCTCAACTAGACAGTTATAAATAAAATAAAGAATAAAAAAAATTAAATAAATTACTCAATTTAAAACTTTCAAGTTGAAACCATTCACGGTTTTTTAAACACATTTATAATTAAAAATAGGCACCCATCGAATTAATAAAAACACAACCGAATTAAGTATAAAAAAACAAAAAAGTTGTATTTTAACTGCTTTTCATAGACAAAACATACTTCATTATAAACATAATTCTTTTTTAAAAAAAAAACATGATATCGACACATTATAAACACAAGACTTTGTTAACAGTCATATGTATGAGAAAAAATTATAGATTTAATTTGAAAAAAAAACACAAAAATTACCACCTTAATAAGATATTTTATTCTTACAAGCGATTGTTTTTTCTAATAATTTGTGTGTTTTTTCACTGAAGAAAAGTAAAACTGAGACTCCTGAAAAGTTTATAATTTAGTTCTATATTTGTTAATTGTAGAAAAGATTGTTGATATACCTTCTTGTCTTTAATTGTGCATATTATAGAAAATCTATTGAATTTTGATTAAATTATAAAAATTGCGGCCTTTTCGCATTGTACTATAATACCTATCTCTTACAAAAATAGAATGGAACGTGTAGTTTATGTGTAAGGCGTATTTTTCAAAATAAATGCTGGTGAAAAATTATTTTCTGTTGTACCTGAAAAACAATTTTATGCTTTTTAGGATTTCTGAAATCTATCCTGAATAAATATTTGAGACTTATAAAAATGAGCGTTCGGGCACTAAAGTCCTAAAGTATAAGGTATTAATTCATTTATAAAATAAAAGTAAAAAAGAAAATGTATACCGACATATTTTTTTACGTAGACAGATTATTGATTGTTTTTAATTTCACATATCTTAAATATTATTTTTTATAAGAAATATTTTTTTAGAAGCAAATTAACGCAATTATGGTACCTACCATATTATACTTGTTTAACTTTGGTTACCAAAATTTAGTTCTCACTTCTAATAACTGTGTGGAACACGATTTGTTGGAATAAAACACTCTTGTTATACATTTATTATCTAATATTTGATACAAAATGAATTTCATTTTTCGTTTGTTTTACATTATTTTTGAAACAACAAAACCCTAAACTATTCCGATTAGAATCAGATGCAAGAAACGAATCTGAACTAGTTGGAATTATGCCTGGCGATCATATTGGATTCCAAGTAACTTCTAATTAGATTTAATTATGAAAATTTTGTACTAGGGTGGTTCTTAATACGGATATTTTCGAATCTTTGCTCCTAGGGGTTCAAATGCTACTAAATCGATAAAAAAAATTCTCTGAAAGTTTTAAGTCTTAATATTAACTTTAGGATAGCCCGCACCCCAACCAAGGTTTCTTGGTTCTTCTTCCTAAGTAAATACTTATTTTATAAAGTATATCAACTTGCTGTTTTAAATTCTAATGATGAAATTTCAGAACAAATTGAATTTTACCCATATTATTTCCATAAAAATTTGTTTGGAGTGCGGACAATCATAAAGTTAATATTAAAAGCTGAAAGCATTCTGAGATTTTTTTCAATAATTGTGAAGCATTTGAGCTCTTGGGGGCAAAATCCATATTAAGGATCACCCTAATATATACATCTTTATACTTGCCTACATATATTATACATTATTGTTATAAATATTAATTGTAATTAATTGTAGTTATAAATGTTTAGAATATTATATCTTTTTATAGATTTTCGATTTTTACTAATAATGGTTATTGATAGATGACTTTCAAATGAGGCTCCATATACAATTTTATTATTTACAAAATTCAAACAGTTTAATATATTTGTAATATTTTTGATATTAATTTTCTAGGAAACTTGTCTCTCTGTAACCTAATTGATGAGCTATCCAGACGTTGAATTGATTCAGTGTACCTAATTGCCATCGCTGTAGAGCATCTTCACGGCTGATTAGGTTGATCAAACACGAATTAGCATTTTATTGCTTCTGGTGAACCCACACTTCCCCAATATATCACGAACACCAGCCCGAAATTTCGAATCTCATAGAGATCACGTAATTCGCAGTATACCTCTTCTCTAAACTTCATTGATTCTTCGGTCAAACGTTGAAAATCTAATATGTAGCCGGCGTATTTATCGAGTACCTGATTCAGATTCAATCGCCAGAACTCGGATTTATTCAAGAAGTGCCTTTGAGTCGAATTCTTTATTAGATTTGGAAGGTTTCTGGTATATCGTATAATATACTTCTGCGACTCCTTTTGAAATGTATATTTAGGTCAGATTCCTTCAATAAATCTTTGAATTTACATAACTTAATGATTTTTGTTAACGGAAAATTCAGTTTGTGGAAAAGCACCAAATGATTATTAATTACTCATGTTTCTTGCATATAATCTTATTAAAAAATATGGTTTTAGGAACGTTTATTTAAAAATTCTCTGTTTTGTATATAGCCTTAACCATCCAGCCATCATTTAGTGGAAAAATAAATTTGTCGCATTAATACTAAAAATAGAACTAATATGCTAAAGCCATATGCTAAAATTAAAACTCAAAAATAAAAGACGAGAAATATCTTCTTTTAATTAATATAGCTGAAGTTACTTTACAGATCACACAAAAAATACCCTAATTAAACTATTACATGTATATATATATATATATATATATATAATTTTATAATTAAAATTTATATAACAAAGTTTGTCTATTTGAAAGTAACTTGAAATCCAATATGTTCGCCAAACCCAATTCTAATTAGATTCAAATTTAACTATTCACGATTTTTATTAAGCTAGCTAAGAAGGGGCAGCCAGATACAATGTTTTTTTTTAATTTCAAAGGGTTTTAACAAAATAATAGCTCCATTTATCAATTTTTAATATTTTTTATTTAATTTTTTTAGAACTAGACAAAATCGAATCTTGAGATTTTTAAAAATTTTGAAAAATTTTCCTTTTTGAAAAATTAGATTGTTATTTATACTTTGAATTATTGTGAAAATTGAGCCTTTTCAAAGCAATCGCGATACGTTAGCTACGTAGAAACAAAGTATCGAAGCGCGTGGGCGCCGCGTTGCATTATTACTAATAAACATTGGTACGGAACTTATAGAAAAGTGAACAAAATTTTTTCTTATTATTGAAATATCTATAAAATAATATGTGATAATTTGATGTGCCGATGTCTAATAATCATTTTTGTTCGCCAAACGGCATTTTCTTCACTTTTTTTTATAGGATCTCCGAAACCGCTTGGTCTGACTTTCATCAGTTTTTAATACTGACATTAAAATTAAACGATATTTGAATCATTCCAATCGGCTCCGTTCTCTTAAAAATTTGATTACCATCTTTGGCACTTTTTGTCCCGTATCTTGGGAACAGCTACAGCTGCCTTTAAAAAAAACTTATTAGCACGTCTCCTTAATAATAGGAATCGAATGTTTTTTTAATCATTCAATTTGGTTGATCCGTGTTCTCGAAATTGTCGACGAAAAATTGTATCCGGGCATACATACACACACACATACATCCATGTTTTCTATAGCAAAATGTTCAGAAACCTTTGAAACGTAACCATATATAAAAAATTTCATTTCCGATTTTTTTGCGATTACTTTAACTTACCCTACTGGAAATTTAAAATAGATTTACCAAGTCTTAAACATTTCACTAACAATATTAATAAAATGAATATAGTTCCAATTATAACTATCATACAGGTTATAGTTTGGCAAGGCATAAAATGGAATAAATAAATATATATTAATTTATATATATATATATATATATATATATATATATATATATATAATATCCATTTTATTCATTTTCATTTGTGTCGTCACACATCGGAGTTCCCTAGTACTATATTTAACTACGATCTCAACCCAAATGCTAGATGGCAGATGTATAAAGCCCTTTATATTTAAGTTTAAATATTTGGTTACATAATAAATGCATTGAAAAAATATATTATGAATCATTTTGCAGAAATCATTCCAGGTAAACACTCTAATACCTTTACCATACAGAAAAAACTCGAGCACTTGCAGACATGTTTTTGATTCAATTATGTTGCTGTAAATTAATTATATGTAAGATTATATTGATTTTAAAATAAACATTTATTATTAATTTGTATTATAATATAATAAAATTACATTATCAATTTCAGAGTCTTTATTGAATGGCGTCAGTGTGAAATATTAAAAAAAATATTAGTTGAAGCACATTAAATATTTTGAATGGTAATAGCATATAAAACTATTGTATCCCCAAGGATTGAAATAATAGATAGAAAATTAGATAGATGAATTATTTTTACAGACACGAGTGTAAGGTACGTAGTGTATGCTTTTTATTTTTATCATTTTAAATTATAAGATACCAATTAATTTTAATATATGAGTGAAGCAGTTATTCGACAAGAAATTTAAGCATATATAAACTTAATATAATAGTAAGTTTGCGAGTTAGTTAACTTCAATTAAAACGCACATTTTGCTATGACGAAATTTCTATCCTTATCTATATTACGTTAATGTAAATATTAATTATGATGCTTTATAATAAAATTTCAGTAAACATTGTATAATATAAAAATGATTATAACAATTATCAGTTATTATGTGAATATAAACAGCTGATGCCCGCAGCTGTTATCGAATTCAAGTATTATATCACAAATTGTCGGATTATTATGATAAAATAATATTGGTTTAAGTCAGTATTCAAAAGATAATTAAATCATCATGGCCTAGATAAGTGGTGCGAAATGAATCAGGTGCTTCTGGAATAATAATCGATTAAATTTTATTTTGTTTACCTACCTGTAATGTTATTGAATATAAATAAGAATTGATAGGAAAACAATTCAAAGCAATGTTTTGTTAATTTTAAATATTTAATTAATTTTAAGTATACTTTTAACATAAATCATGTTCTCATTCTCATGAAGAAAACAATTAGCTTAATCTCGTATCATTTGAACTGATTTATGTCCTAATATTTAATCATATGTATCTAATTTGATTTTGTATACTTATCATTATTATATTTTGAAATATTGATCTTGATTGATATTTGTTATTTTTATTCAACTTATATATTATTTCATTATGTTATTTGGTCTACTGTATCTATCAATCTACTGTACCGAATGTAAACTTGATTTTATTGTGTATGTTATGCAATTTGTTTGATAAGAATTTGTGATCATTGAAGGACAGACATTTATAATATTAATTTATTTTTGATCATTTTTGATCATTTTATAAAGAATGGTGATTTTCAAAACAATCTCCAAAATGCATAGCTGGTTGATTTTGATATGTTTTACAATAAAATGTTGTTCGCCGCTTTCCTCCTGGTGCTTTTCTGTCAGAACAGACAATACAATCCCTTTTTCTTTCTCTCGCATTTAGAATATGCCACTGATTAATCAGTATATTTGTTCATTTTTTAGCTGCCATAATGGTTTGTTTTTTCTATTATATTGTCTAATAATTCATTTGTAAAATATAAAGTAAAATAATCTATTGAATGTCTTATGGTGTTTGTTGATGTTTGTCAAACTCGATTATTGAAGAAGAATTGGTACATTAGCTAATGTCTTTCCACTCTTCATTTAATTTGTCGAACTTCTTCTTTTTGTTGGTTGGTTAATATCATCATCACATTCATCACTATCTTCGGTGCGAATAGTAATTTCGTAAAACTTGTCTGTATGAACTATGAATGTCTATTTGAAACCGATCTTCACTACTGCTTAATTCACAAAATTTACCAGTCGTTTTGCTATATTTAAAAGTGCTCGATCGTTTTAAATATTAAAAAAAAGATTATATAGCAAAGAAAAAGGCTAAAAATACTACTAAAATAACTTAAAATTATTTTCAAAATACAACACTGTTTATCACTGCAATATGTAATTTATTCAACTTTTCGGTGCGAACTGAGTCATTGTTTATAAAATAGCCTGTGCCTCACAGATTATGTTTGTCCTCTCAGGTGGACAGCCCCTCAGGTCCCCAAAGAGTTAAAATACATCTCTTAATCATATAAACTTATAAATTGCAAAATGCATTACAATTTGTCAAAACAATTTATTTTGATTTTTATTAAAAATTCGGTGTCGTTGATATTTGTAAATATAAAATAATTAATTAATATTATATAATACTCAATTAGCCAAGAACAATTTCAGAAACTTATTCCTTTCAATCAAGAAAAAATAATGAATAAGGGAAGAAGTTATAATTTACTTTGTGTAATTAAAATGATCCTAGATTCTATCATAATTACATATGGGCCATGTGTGATTTAATTCAAAGTTTTGAGTCTGTCATTTTTTTTGGCAACAGTTGTGAACTGGTCGTGAACTAGTGTGTCAATTGTGGCGTCTTTCGTGCCAACTGTAATACATAAAACGTAATGACTCGTTCAAAATCGTAGGTGTAAAAAATTTCAGGGTAAACAATGATTGAATTTTACTCAAAATATATATTTAGATGTGTGACTTCAAATTTATATTTGATTATTTAAAGGACAACGGTATGTATACAAAGTTTAATGCCTAGATCCACGGTTAACGGATCCAAATCTACCAGAATTCATAAAAACTTTTCTTTTTATTTTTAACCGCATATTGAAAGAATAATGATATAGTTTTGTGAAATTTATCTCCGTTTACTCTAGTTTCATAAATTTTATCTCTGTTCACTCTAAAATACCATTAATATCACTTAGACAATTTTTTTACTGTTTTTTTATCAATTTAAAACTTGAAGTAAAAGTAAAATGTTCCAAATTCTATCTCGTATAATAAACGGGAATCTGTAGATTAATCATATTATACACGTTGGCATAAAAATATCAATATAACTTTCGACTCAATCATCAGTATTGTTTATAATAAACAGTTTCCATGTCCCGTACCCAATCGGTAGCCTGTGTGGCACACCAACCTCGACCTAAGCAGCATATCAGGTTGAGGTTATGTCGCCCGTACCGATCGAAACTGGGACACTTGATTGTTTGAAAAATCGATGCTCAAAAATTGAAAAATAATGCAAATAAACTCTTTTATAGAAAAATGCCATCTAAAATTAATTGTGCAATTAATTATTTCGCCAAAGTCATATTATTTAACCAAAGTATTATTTTATATTACTTAATCTTGATAGTTTTTTATAAAGTCTACGTGTATGTATGTGTATGTATTTATGTACTTATATATGAATGTGCATATATACGTATGTATGTATATGTATGCGTATTATATGAGTATATATGTATGTATATCTGTATGTAAGTAGATGTGTATGTGTATATGTATGTATATATATGTGTGTATATATATGTGTGTATGTATATGTATATAGATATAAATATACAAGTTATGAATTAGCAAACAATAATATAAAACTGTATAAAGCCGATTGGCATATAAATAAATAAATAAATAAATAAAACTACATATTTTCAATGATAAATTCAAACTCTGTATCTGGATAAGTTTCAGAAATTGAAAAGTAGGTAACACATGGTGGGGGAATATTTCAAATCCAATACCTATCTCGGAATTGAATTTGGCAAATTCAGAATACACCTTTTGATACATTGTATTTTAATGTTGCACTTCTATATTTCTATCAAATCACGTTTAAAACATTATACGATTAATTTAGTTTTTAACCATAAATTTTTCATGATCCTCATCTTTAATTTAAAATTCTAGATGTGAAACGATAGATTTATTTACAGTTGTAGCGAAGAAAACATTCTTCAAGCACTGTAAGTCTATTGAAAATTTTAAAAAAGAAACTTTCAACATACAGACACTGTAAATCATATTAATTTCTAGGAATTCTGTGATTATAAATAAAATTACTGTTGTTATTGAAAAGTTCATTATGCACTTGCTAATACAATCACCGGCACGCTTTTTTTAACACCATGCTATCCTCGTGCTAATCCCAGTTCATATCGCTGAGTCTGTCCTCACTTTAAAATCGTTTTTGATAGTAGTAGTCAGTAGTGGCATTAAATCAGTTTTCTTTGTAGTAGTCAATAGCGTTCTCCCATCCCGCCTGGTCGGAATTCCCGTCGGAGCGCGGGGAGAGAACGCCCGAAAGAAATAAACACACGCCGCGCGTTGAGTCGTCGCTAAATATGGGAACGCGCCGATTTCTCGTACCCCGCGCTGACTTCGGACCAAAAACGGCGACCGAAGCTGCCGCCTGTACTAGCCAAGCGAAGGAAGCAATGCTCTGGTACGCGGTCTTGGAATCTAAGTTTTAGATAAAAATTAAAGATGCTTTGCTTATATTCTGTGATTGTACGGTTGAAAATCTTATGTGCAAGTACACACATATAATATATGTATATATATATAATATATGTATATATGTATATATATATATATATATATATAATATATGTATATATATATATATATATATATATATATGATTTAGTTGTTAATTTTGATGTTGAGATATATGAGTAAGTTCTTGTGGGCGATACATCAAAAAATAAAAAGCAAAGATTTAGAAATTAATCTTTAATTCCAAACGTTTCGACATTCAATTTAATGTCATCATCAGTGGATATTAACGTTGGTAGGTTACATCTAAGATGTGTACACAACACTAGATATTAGCACTAACATTTATACATCTAACTTGTCCACACTATGAATTTTTATCATTTTTTGTAAGATCTAAAGCCTCGGAGCTTGCACATTTCACAAGTCGTGGCAGAAATTACTTAATTTTACTCACATTTTTGTTCAAATAAAACTATCATTTTTCTTTTTACATCTTAAAAAAAATGATAAAAATTCATAGTGTGGACAATGTATGTTATGTATATATAATAATATATATTTGCAAGTATATATATTTTTTTAATAAAACGATTAATGAAAAATTAGTATCACTACCTCTTATAATATTAAACATTCGAGTATTACTGTTTTGAGTTTTTACTTTTCTATATGGAAAGGACCAAAAATTCATTTTTAATCAATTTGCATATGCATAACGAACGAAGGACAAAAATTTCTTTAAAAAAATAAAAATCATTAAATAAAAAAGCAAATTGATTAAAATGAATGAAAATTAAATATTTATCATTAATATTTATCAGTCACGTTTCTGAAATTCATATTAAATAAATGATGAACGCTATAGTTTTTCCCAAGCTCCTGTCCTAAGAACAATAGTGATTGGTCTAACTAGCGTTCCTCATCAAAGTTTTTATCAGCCCTAAGGAGAAGTTTATTTTTAAGTTATCAGAAAATGATTAGTTTTTCTCGACAATCGGCCGAGCCGTTTCCTTGAAATTAACAGAAAAGTTTTACCTTTTCGTACACGTTTTAGTCAAAAATTCTGAATGTATTTCAAAAATTTAAAAACTTCTCCGAAGGTATCAACTATCGGCCGGGCCAATTCATCGTAATTAGTTGTTGGAAAAAAATTGAACGAGTTTGATTAAACTTTCATAAACATAGAGATGTTAACTTCAAAGAACATGCTAAAAAAATATGAGCTTGCGACAAGTCGTTTATTATAAAAGAACAATGCTAAATCTAAATTCTTATTGATTAAGTCGTTCATTTATATTTATACATATCGATTACTTATATTACACATATTGAAAAAAATAATGCTAATTACAACTAGTAATCTAATTTTTCAGTTTGATTTTTAAACAACTTTTAACAGAATTTGCAATAATAATCTGGAGGGTCATAAATGTGTGCAGAACTATTGAATTTTATCATCAATATAAATAAATATGGAATTTTAGTTCTAGACTCGTTCTCGCAAAAACTGAACTACCATTTTGCACTTTTTTCCCCGTATTTCCAAAACGACTACTTCTGTCTCCGCCAAAAACTAATCATTGTTTTTTTAATTATTTAAATCGGTCGAACTGTTAGTCCAAAATCTTGGACAAAAAATTGTATTCACACAAAACACACCTACATCCATTTTCTCTAAGGTATGCCAAAATGTTCAGGAGGTCTTGAAACGCAAAGATATGATTTTTTTTTGATTTTTTATTAAAAGGAAGTTAATCATAAAGAATCAATCAGTTTCTCAATATTAGGTTTGCATCATATATCAAAATTTTCAGATGACAAAATGATAATACACAAGTGCCTATATCTTTATATAGTCATTTTTCTCAAACATGGATGAATCTGTTATGTGATGTAATATTCTGTCTTAAAATACCAAAATGTATATAGCTCGTAAAGTACATCAAACAAACATCGTAATTGTAGGTGTAGACACCTTAATGTACAAGAGAGTACCACAATGTTTTTACGCTGGCGAACACTTGGCTCATCACATAGAGTCGCTTTAAATATACATGTTATGTCATTGTCTAAATGTCTAGTTAGTTTGTTTGTATTCATTAACGTGATGCTTTGACGAGATGCTGTGGTTAGTTGGAGATAGAAAAAAAAAGTTTTTTTTTATTACCAATTTGCCTGTACAAGAAAATTTGTTATGGTCTCTAATTTAAATGCAATTTGTGTGTTTTGTTTGACAAGGGTGTTCTGAATGTTTGGCTTTGACAAAAAACGTGATGGTTCAACTAGATTTGGATCATTTTCATACAGCTATTTAAATGATATAAATTGTCTATTAAAATTAATTTTGTTTATTCTGAGAAATATGTGCTGAAACCTAATTTTGTGATATTCAGATAGAGCAATCAAGCAATAATAATTTTCACTTTTCTGTTTTTAACTATTTTTATTAACTTCCCGAGGAAGTGAAGTTCTCCCAAAAAATCTAATTTTTACCTTTCGTTCGTTTCAAGTCATTCTAAAGCTTTTGAAATCAAATTTGGAAAAAGTATATTTATGTGTGAATTTGCAAAAGTTTTGTGCTATCTAAGGTTTAAGGATTTGTGCATTGTTCATAGAAATTATATAAAAATAAAATATCTAATCAGATTCTTGATATTTGTGTCACCTAACAAATAGTTTACAAAACTACTCGATTTGTGTAAAAAATGTTAAATTTAATTTAAATGATTAAATAATGTCAATAACGTATATGATATACGTGTCTTACAAAATCATTTGTGTTTCTTAAAAAAATCATGTTTTTGGACATACATGTTTCTGTGCCCTATAATTAATGGAATTACTGGTATTATAAATGTGTTTTAGAGATATCAATAGAAAATCGGAATGTTGAGTTTTTAGTGAGAGCGAAAACCAAATTTCCGAAATAAACAGTTAAATTTTTTATCAATATCAAAATAGCTAAATCTCAATTTTATTTGATAAAGTCAATTATTGTATGAACAACATTTTAAAATGTATATGCATACATTTATTATATAGTTATCTCTTTGTAATTTAGGTGTAAAAATCGATTATCCCATTACAATGATTGGCCATAATCTCATAAAAATTGCAAAAGTTAATAACTATAGATTACAACAATCAATAGCTTCTGAGGAAAAATATGCAGTTATGACATTTGCGTTTATAAATATAGTTAAGTTTATGTTTAGTTTTGTTCTTTGTTCCATACACGATGAAATCAATACTTGAGTATTATAAATCAATGCTTTATAATTCAATTAGTTTATCTTCTAGTACAAACAGTTTTGTTTAATTTTATTATTTCAATCACAAGCTTCTGACGTTAATTCCACATTTTCTGTTCTAATCTTGGATATTAGTAGTATATTAACGACAATATGTAAATACTTTGTTACAACTGTCATATCAAACCGACATTTGATTTATATCTCATACGTGAAAAGGATTATTTGCGTTAACTCCGAATGATCTGTTTTAAAAGCTTTTTAAAAAGTTTTTCCTTAGTTTTCTATAATAGGATTATATACTGAATAAATATTAATCCTTTCTCAGTAAGATGACAAACCGTTTTGTCAAGTTTTCTAATAAAATTGTTCTGTTGAATAACATATATAATCAAGCTTTTATCATGATTTATTTACTGTGGAGGTTTAATTACATTGCTCGAAGGATTTATAACTTATTAAATAATGGCGCGAGTGTTTGATCTGTTTCGATATATATATATATATATATATATATATATATATATATATATATATATATATATAATTCCAACTCTGCTGATGAATATTTCTGACAAAATAACAGATCAAGGTTATATACAGTGTTATCTCTGTAAAAACTGTATTCATAAAATTTATATGTTGCATTGGTTGAATAATGTAAATATTCGTAAAATCTCTTTAAAATGAAAAATAAGACATTGGACGTATTGGACCCAGGTCGTGTCAATTTACCCCGCTTGTGGGGTAAAAAGGATTATGAGATTATTTTTTAAAATACAATACAAAATAACACTATCATTTCTACAATGGTTTATAATTAGTTGGGGGTTTTACTGAACATAGTCTGATAGTTGTTTGTTGGATATGTCTTACTTGTTGTGATATAATTGGTTTGGTTTTCAGAATAAAATTTCTCAAAGTCGGCGAGTAAAAAGGGCCACCACCAGTATTTTAAAAACAAGTAAAGTTAGGAATTTTCAACAAAAATATTTTTATGTAGATGGCAAAAGATATGTAAACAGCCACCACCATAAATCGAGCCACATTGCAAACAGGCACTGTAGCATTTTTTTGTTGTTTTTTTATTTTTGAGTTCATTTTATGATATCTGAATATAAATTTTTAGAATACTTTATTTAATCAAAATATCTTTGTTTAATTGCTTTTTAAGTTGTAATGTTATTTTTGACTTAGATTCAATATTTTTATGTGTGTAATCTCTAGAATAGCTTAATTGTGGTTGGGGTTAAAAGGACTACTTAAACGTTTTTACTAGCGAGTAGTAAACAATAAGAAACTTGTAAAAATATAACCAAGTAACTTTTTTTCTTTAAAATTTAAAAAAATATAGTGCTATTATATGATAGCAAATTTGTTGCGAATTTTAGTGAACATAATTTGTTTGGTTGATATGTGTTAATCATTTTGTTTGCACAGTCTAATTGCTGTTACTACCAAAAAATTTTATTTTCGATTTTTTTGCAATTACTATAACTTACCCCATGGGAAGTTGAAAATGGACAAACAAAGAATTCAAAATTCAAACTCGTGAGATTTCAGAGAATTTTATTTTATATTAATTATGAAACTCCAGAATATAGATTTTTGTTAGATAGCAGCTACAAACAATTATTACAGGGAAAATTTAAGCTTAGACTTAAAATT